CTTATTGCATCTCTCTTGCCTGGGAATCTGTGCTAACTTCAGTCTGAACCTTTTCTTAGTTTCATTATCCAGTACCTGTCTACTTGCATCTGTAGAAAAGTCAAGCTTTTGGTATAAGTTTCTGATGCTGAGCCTAAATATGTTTTGGATGACTTTATCAAAATTAAGCTTGTAGAAAAATGAAGTAGTATTTTCTGTTAAGCAGCTGGTATTGGCATATGGTGGCCTCTTCAATTTAAATCTAACTATGGATTTAACTATTGGTTACACATGGATGGGCTGATTCATGGTCTTTGTCATATCTTTATTTTGAATTAGAATTAGTGGCACTGCACAAAAAGCCAACTTAGAAAACTTCTGCCACACCCATATCTGTTCAGAAAGTTCTAGACAGGGATCAGAAAGTTCTAGACAGGGATCAACTGAAATTGATACAGTCTCCTTCTGTGCAGAGGACTGCAGCTAAACATCTAAATTGTCCCACCAGCAAACATATGTAGTGATGAAAATGTCTTGCTATGAGAGAAAGCGATAAGAATGGGTCACCTTTTAATGTCTTAAATAGAAACCTCTGTACTGTCACACATTGATAGATGTACTCACATATGCTATTCTAGGGTGTTGACAGAATCATTTGGCAGAGTTGCAGGATTATTTATAGTGTGCTGAACGCCTTTGTCTTTCAGCAAAGAACTCTAGGAGTTTTGGTGAAATACTGTTAATTGTTCAAACTTTTGTTTTACATATTACACTACTTTATAGTGTGTTCAGTTTTTAAAAGTAATTTTAAAACATAAGGTAATTACTGGATTAGGACACTTTATCAAAATCTTATCTTGCCATAATTTTCTATTCTTTATTTAGATATTGATTTTGAGGTTGATGGATGAAAAACTAGAAGAAATTTTTCCAAGTAAAAACTTAAACTGAGTCTAATTTTTCACTTTCATCATTTGTTCTAGGTAATTTTATCCACTATAGATGCAGAGCTGCAGAAACTTAAAGAAATGACCAGCCACCAGAAAAAAAGGGCAACCGAGATGATGGCCTCGTTACTGAAAGATCTTGCGGAAATAGGAATTGTAGTAGGAAATAATGATGTGAAGGTAAAGTGGAGCTATCACAAATGTGAAATGATAAATTAATTCATTCTTAGGTCTTTTCAAAGTAGTAAAGATGTAATAACTACAGTAATTTATAACACCTCCAATCAAATAAATGTCTTCCTGTAAGGTTCTGAGGGAGGATAAAGGTAACTCAGGTGTTCAATTTTGTCTTATATGCTGTTTATATCTGACTTACTATAATTCAGTGTGCAAGGTTGAAGAACAACTTAGTCTAATTATGCAAACAGTACAAACATTCCTCACTTCAGGAGGAATGTTTGTACTGTTTGCATAGTTTGTCACTTCAGTCCGCATTGCTAAATGACCATATGTAATTTGGTGCACTGAATGGTACATACTTAAGAAAGGTTGAATACTGACCAAGAATGGTAACTTTTACTTCTAGAATAGCTGTTCCAGCCAGAGTAATTGAGTTAACTAATAAGCCTTGTATAGAACATACGGCAGCTTCCCTGTGGGTGTAAGACAACTTCATTTTCTACTTCAGACACTTTTGGTGTCCAAGTCTTTGGATTTTTTTTCCAAATGAACATGTGAGCATTTGAAAGGAAACTAACGCTCAGTTATTTTGAAGAGCTTGCCATTGACATGTAAACACTTGCAAACAAGTCAGAATTTCTAGAGAGTGACAAAGAGTATGATTTGTACTATTTGTGTGTGAATTTTATTAAAATTTTTAGAGAAGATGAAAAATAGTAGTAGCTTTAGTTACTGTGAAAATGGTGTGGAATTAAATAGCAGTGCAGTGACTGTACTATGGACTAGGCATTTCTGTTTTCTGGTTGCACTTTGAGCTGCTGTATCCTATATTTAATTCTGTATACAGTGAATATTTTTGTCACTTAAACCTTTCAAATTCTGATTTTTTTTCCCCCCCCCAGCAACCTGAAGGAACTGGCATGATAGATGAAGAATTCACAGTTGCAAGACTATACATTAGCAAAATGAAATCAGAAGTGAAAACAATGGTAAAACGCTGCAAGCAATTAGAAAGCACTCAAACTGAAAGCAATAAAAAAATGGAAGAGAATGAAAAGGAGCTGGCAGCTTGTCAGCTTCTTATCTCACAGGTAAAAGTTGCATTGCTCTAGCTTTTCTGATTCAAGTCACTTTTGAAACATGATTCCTGTGTTTGACTGATTTGTCACCAATTGCTCTTAACCTATAGCATACAGTTTTGAAAATAGACAAGTTGAACCAATTTAGGTTGCTGAGACAAGCTTTTTAGCTAACACAGAGTTCTTCAGCTCAGATTTTGAAGGTAATTCAAAATGTTGGTCTGATCTTTTTTGCACAAGTGGGAAGTCAAACATCCGTTTCTTCAAACCCTCTAACATTGTATTCAACCTGTTTTTAATATCAGCTATACACTAAAGTAAAAAAATTATCTTAAGATGTCTTATTTTTTCATACAAAGTACACTAGAGAATTATAGTCACAGAGAACTATAGACACTGGACTGAGGGCTTGTCTATACTGGCACATTTTGTTACCAAAAACTGTCTTTTGGCAACAAAATATGAGATCATTTACACTGAAGTGCGGCTTTGGTCAGGGAAAAACTGCTAGTTTTGGTGACAAAATACTTCCAGCCCTGCAAGAGATTTGAGACTTTTGTCTTCTCCCCTCTTTTTATTGTTCGCAAAAATCCAATGTGGACTCTTTTTTTTCCCCTCCGTGCCAGCCCAGATGGCTGTGTTCAGTGTTTTGTGATCTCTACTGCCCTTTTAGCTTTCATCCCTCCCCTTTCAGAGCTCTCGGAAGTATCTGACAACTGAATGGGCTGCTCCGTTTGGGGAATGAACAATGAACAAATCATTGGAATGTTTCTGTTCTGTTCTGCCCTGCTAGCGTGACAGCAGCAATTAGACTGCTGCTGTAGGGGGGAGGACTGAAGAAAGTGCTGTGTTGTTTTGACATTCCTCAGCATGGAGAGCTCACAGAGCTAAGAGGGAATCCCAAGAAGCACAGGGATCAGTTCTGCCTTCCCACAACACTGCACTGTGGGATGCTTACCCACATTGCTTTCCTCTGTCCTCAGGGTGCTTGCAATTGGGCAACATGAAATGTCAATAATGGGAGGCAGGAAAACTGGTTTTCATTTTTCGTGACTTTTGCCTGTTGACAGCACTTTTGTCGCCCAACCTTCCCACTGTAGACATAGCCTTAGTGTTATCCCAGGAAGCATGAGAGCACAGTTCTGTGTTTTAGGATGTCTTAAAACCCCAATATAGGTTCCTAGACTTTAATCTCCACTTTCATAATTTTATGTTTAACACCAAAAACATGTTTATACTGGGTTAATCTTAACTTTTGGGACTGACTGACATTCCTCTTATTGTTTGAGTTTTGCACGCAAATAACTATTTCTCAAAGCTTACAAAAGCAATCACTCTTTTGAAGCACACTCTTGAGAAGACAGCCAGTTTAAAGACCACTTGAAGGGATGGAGGACATGGGGATAAGATACCAAGATGCAGACACAGTATGAGGGAGTTGTCACATTAGAACTGCTTAGTGCAGTTGTGAGCATATACTTATAAGCATATGCCTATTAGTTAGTTGACTAGTGACTTGACGAGTTGCTCTCCCCCTTCTTCGCCCTCCCTCCCCCCTTCCACCTGCCTCTGTTAGACAGAGGCATCAAAGAGGAGGCAGGGGGTGGGAGGAGCTGACTTAAAAACTGGTTATCCTCCCACACCTCCTCTGCAGGGCAGGGAGGCAGATGTATAGCAGGGGAACGGGCAAGCTCATGCCTGGTCCCTCCTGCTGCACTAGTGCTTTTTAAGTGTATTAAGAGCCTGGCAGCAGATCAGTATTTGTCCATGAGCTGGAGAGTAAGTTTCACTGGAAGGTGGAATCATTAATATTCATAATTTGAACATAACTATTCATAATTTGAGAACTGAGTTACTCAAATCAGCTAGTAGAAAGAAACTGTAAAACAGGAATATGAACACATCCACGTGGGCTTGGTGGATGTTCTTAATGAGACACATGATGGTGTCTCCTGAAGTCAAGAGGCCAGATTGTTATGCCTGTGATGATTTTGCCAGTCTTTAGCACCCAGTAAAACAGACTTTTAACTCCGTTTTTGATAGAGGATCATGGATTGAGCGTATTTTTTAATTAAATGTTTTAAGAGATTATAATTTTAGGATTTAACAGATCTTGCATTAGTTTCAGATTTCATATTAAACAGACCTATTTTTACAATACAAACTTATTTAAATAACTAACATACTATTAACATTTTTTAAAAATCATTTAACATTTTCTGTCCAAAATCAATTTTTTTATTCTGATGTGCAACTATAACAGTCCAAAGCTTGCCTTTCTCTCATTCCATTGACGTATGTACCTGTGACCTGAGGGATTTTGAAGTATTATGATACTTCAGGGATCTTGATCCTGGCTTGTCAGTCTTCTCTTTTTCTAGGAAAAAAAAGAATATCTGTATGCATTTGGTTTTTAGATTAGTTATTTTTACTTACATTTTTAAATATTTTTAATAGAATTTTATTTACATTTGCCTACTTTAAATGTAAATTAATCTTGTTTTCATTTTGAAAGCACGAAGCCAAGATCAAGTCATTGACAGAATATCTTCAGAATGTGGAACAGAAAAAGAGGCAACTGGAAGAGTCTGTGGATTCCCTTAATGAAGAATTAGTCCAGCTTCGAGCACAGGGTATGAATTATTCTTCATATTTAAGTATGTAACCAGTAATGTGACCATGCAGTATACCATAACAGACATTAGGCAAGATGAGGAGATAGCACTGTCTTGATAGGACAAACACTATGTAATGTGTAATTTAGAAGAATAAGAAAACAAAGTAAAATTAGTAGAGATAACGTATTTGGACACACTTGTCTGAAAACTATTTTTAGGATGAAGCAATGGGCTTAAATTGCAGCAAGTGGGGTTTAGGCTGGATATTAGAAAAAACTTTCTAACTGTCAAGGTGGTTAAACAGTAGAATAAATTGCCTGAGGAGGCTGTGGAATCTCCATCACTGGAGATAATCAAGAGACGGTTGGATAGACTTCTATCAAGCATGAACTAGACCACAGGTGGGGAGAAAAGCTTCTCAGTGGCCCGGATCCAGTCCACCCAGGGCTTTGATTCAGCCTGCGTGGCAGTTCCAGGCCCCACCCCCACATTGCCTGGGAGCCAGAAACCCGCGTCCTTTCAACTGTTTCTATTTAAAGGACTCGCACCTTTCCTGTGGCTGTCAGGCAACAGCCCTGGAAAAGGGGTGAGCCCTTTAAATAGAAGCAGTTGAAAGGGCTCTCACATCCTCGGTTCCCTGGCAACGTGCTGGGGCAAGGCTTGGAGCAACCAGCCCTTTAAACAGAGGAGTTGAAATGTCTTGCAGCTCCCATCTCCTGCTAACATGATGCCTGGAAGCCACAGGAAAGGCGTGAACCCTTTTCATCTCCTGCTATTTAAAGGCCCACCCCTTCCTCCTGGGGCTCTGCCACTTCCATCTGAGGCCCCGCCACTTCTGAAGCAGTCACGACCACTTCAAAAAATTTTAAACTAGCCCTCATTCAAAAATTATTTCCCATCCCTGATCTATACGGTGTTTGGTCCTGCTGTGAGAGCAGGGAACTGGACATAATGACCTCTTGAGGTTCCTTCCAGTTCTAGTATTCTAGGATTCCATACATAACAGGGATAAGATAAAGATATAAAGAGTTCTCCTTAAACTATCTGCATAGGAAAAACTTAATGTATGCAACCTAATTCAATGTTTAAAATGAAAGGGGGTAAGTGTAAATCTGACAAGCATTCCTCCAATTGATTGGGCTTTGTAACTGAAATCTTTATTTTCTCATTAGAAAAAGTCCATGAAATGGAGAAGGAGCACTTAAATAAGGTCCAAACTGCTAATGAAGTCAAGGCAAGTAAATGTATTTTTCTATTCCTTAATAGTTTTATGTGCAACTTCATATTTTAAATAGTAAAACAAATATTTCTTTTTTACTATAGCAAGCTGTTGAGCAACAGATTCAAAGCCACCGTGAGACACATCAAAAGCAAATTAGTAGCCTAAGAGATGAAGTTGAGGCAAAGGAGAAGCTCATTACTGAACTCCAAGAGTAAGAGTTCTGATGTTAAAATCATTTATTGATTTGGACTGTGAGGAAATAATTACTTTGACCCATATACCTAGCAGATTACTACATTTTTTATTATATTAATTTTTGGATGGTAATTGAATCTTCTGACTTAATTGTTCGTTAAGTCTTTAACCATTCTTCATAGTAGTGATGAGTAGGGTAGTTCTTATCACCTGAGGTGCAGTGCTCAAAACAAAGTGAAGAATGTCATCCTTCCCTTTCTCCCCCACTGTCCTGTTGGTGCTGAGTTTCAGGGTTCCTGCAAGTAGTGAATAACAAATAAACAATGACATTTAGCATTTAGAAATACTAACTTTAGTGCAGCTAATAGTCATCTATTGGTATAGTGAAAAAACCTTTCAAACATCATAAACATGTTTAATGTGAGCATGATGCGTTGATAAATATTTCATTCATCTGACAATTATCATTTCTTTTGTTGATCATCAATCAAATAATTAAGCATGCACAACAGTTGGTTGCTAAGATTTCTGATTAAATTAATAATGCAATCTAAAAAGACTCCTTTTGGAAGTTTTAATTTATCAAAGGGAGTAAAGCATTTCCTGTCTCAGCTTAGTTTTGTTAAGAATGAATGGCATGTGATGATGATAGCTTGAAACATAGTCCATGAGTATCATCGTGTTTCTATATTTTTATATTAATCCTATCTTTGTGTCCAGCCAAAACCAGAAGATGATGCTTGAGCAAGAACGTCTTAGAGTTGAACATGAGAAACTGAAAGCTACAGATCAGGATAAAAGCAAAAAACTGCATGAACTTACGTAAGTAATAATCATACTTCAGGTATTAAATGTGTGACTGGGGGCCTTAAAATTGTAAATACTAGTGATCTGATGCAGTGTAGATGTTCATTACATAACATGTTACTAAGGGCACAATTCTGTCATAGATCACAGATTCCATGACTTCCTGGGACCTCCATGACTGTTTCTGAGAGCAGCTTTCTGCTTCAGGGCTGCTGGAGCAAGTGACCGGTAGTCACCCCAGGGGTCAGCAAAACAACTGGCTAGCAGTCAGCCCTGGAGCAGAGGGCTGATCGTATAGCTGGCTGGTGGATGGGGTGGGGGATGAGGGACACCAGAGCAAGTGGCTTGGGTTAGGTCAGCTCCTCTGGGGCTGGAGCAGCAGCAGGGCTGGAGTACCTGCAAGCTCCTGCAGCACTGTTTGTCCCCCTCTACCCCCTCACTGTATTTTTAATAAGTCAGGGACAGGTTTGTCTGTGGTCTATCCTTGACTTGTATTAAAAATACCTATGACAGAATCTTATTTAACCAAAATCTTTAGAACTCTCTGCTCCTATTGTGGCTCAGCCACACCATAGGTAGTTGTGTTAATTTATTCTGTATTAGTGTTATTAGTTCAGTTTCTCTCGGATTCAAAATAGCCCATATTTTACAAAAATTATTTTCCCTCCATATGGCAACCAAAGTCAGTATGATCTGATTCTGAAGCACTTTTTTTCCAAAATAAACATGCTGCCATTTAGTTGTCTGTAATGCCATTTCTTTATGGGAGAATCATTTTGGATTACCCAAATGCTAAATTATAAGATGTGTAGAGTTTGCCCAGTGCATACAAGACTGAATCTCTTATTAATTTCTTCAGGAAATTAAATAAGCTGTTTAAAGGAATTGGTTTTGATGGCTCAAATTTGCATGTATAAATGTAAAAAATAATTCTCTAAATACCTCTAGCCATAGGAGCTCTCATGGATATCTTTTAAAAGTATTTGTCCAAAAATTAATTCATTTTATGTGAGGGGTAGGAGACAAAGCATATTCTAAGTTACCGAAAGTTGGCGAGCTTGTATTTGGAAGGATTACCAGAGTGTTGAATGTATTGTTTTATTGACTACTATATTGAATTATGTAATTTACATTTAATAGGGTTGTGGTTTTCCATAAACATAAAACCTGAAACTATTATTCATGTCTACAGACATGCAAGAGATTTTTATTTTGTGTAACTAAAGCTTGAAAAATCAGTCATTAAAATGGCAAAACAAAATCCCTTTGGGTGATAGTACCCAAAGGCAAGTCTAAAATCTAATATCAGTTGCCAATGATTTTTAAACAAATGCTCTTATGCCAATGGAAAACATGGCTTTATTTCAGATGCTCATAGGGTACAATTTTTGGCCCATACAGTTACTTAATTCTGACGTGCGCTTCATATCCACGCCCCCAGAGCATCAATTCCAACAGTTTTTCTATTTGCCACCTTGAACTGCAGAAGTTAGAAATCCTACTGCTGTATGTATACCATCTGAAAGCAATTTGGCACCAAATTATATCAAGCATTACTCTCTTAATCTAGCAGTTCCTCATACAATATTTTAAAAGTACAGCCCAAGGTAATTATTTTTAGCTTTATACAGTACAGTGTCGTAAATATGCATGGCCTTTTTAAATGAAAGACAAATACTGAATGCTAACTCAAAACACATTTGTAAATTTGCTCTAGCTCCCTCCAGGTGAAATCTGAAAGGCAGTTGGAGTTCATGAGCATTTCCTGTTGCAACATCAGAGTTGGTGGAATAGCCTTATCAATTTAGAACTTTAGACTTTTGGTGGCACTGGGTAGAAGTTATTGTTAGAGACAGAAAAAAGACTTTCCTCTCCCTTTAAACTCAGTACTGTTTCTGTGCTTTTCACCTTCACTGTGTTTTCAATAACGGTAAAGTTCCCGGGTCCATTCCCCAGTATCCTGCCTGATTTCTCAGAATTTGAAAGAAACTGAATCAGAGGCCTTAGTGTTCATTTTCCAGGAAGGAATCTTAAATAGGATGATTGAGAGAGTTCCTGCCATGTGATTTGTTGTCATTAGGGTGTTTTAACTTTTAGAAAATGAAAATCTGAACTGTTCATATATACAGGAAAAAATCAGTAAAGCAGCCTGAAAAGCTATTTTCCCCAAATTGAATAAAAATCCTCTAGTCCATCCCGTCCATCCCCACATAACATCTAACTTCCTTGATCAGTCAAGTACTAGAAATATTTGTAGGATTTGTAGGTCTTTCTAAATAATGGCTATGCGTCTATAACCAGAAGTTTTCAACCTCTGGTATGCTTGTGTGACTGTTCTAAAATGTTCTATAACTCAGATGTCTGAAATGACTTATCACTCGAATACTAATTGTATGCAGTTATTTCTCACAATATCCTTACTCTTCTAGTCTTGGGCTCTCGAATACTCTGTCATTTGTGGCTAATTGTGGGGTGGTTTTTGCACTTTGATATACTCTAAATCCTTAATTATGCAATCTCCTTTCTATTTGGAAACTAAAGTAGAATTTCAACTTTTTCTAGAGGTGCAAGACTCATTTTAATTTGCTGTATTCCCCATTTCCTCTCAATCTCTCCTCTTCCCATAAGTAAACGTAAGATATGTATTTGTACATAAATATAAATGTTTAGCTATTCTAGTGTGAATATATTCTTTGTTTGCTAGGGTTATGCAAGACAGACGAGAACAAGCAAGACAAGATTTGAAGGGTTTAGAAGAGACAGTGGTAAGTTAGTTATTACAGTATAACTTTAAAATAAATGCTTGTAACTTTTTTTGTTCGTGTTAATAATTCTAAGTTATAAAATGCTTATTTGTTGTTTTAGGCTAAAGAACTTCAAACGCTACACAATCTTCGAAAGCTGTTTGTTCAAGATCTGGCTACCAGAGTTAAAAAGGTAACATGACATATCAAGACTTGTCTGTTTAAATGTGGAAATGGGCGAGCCTAAATAATCGATGGTTCAATTTTTATCAGATATCTGAACATCCACAT